CTTGCTTTTTATCAACAGGTTTAGAATATATAATTATAATGTTCAAAAAATGAATCTCGACAAAAAATTATTTTATTATGTCTCAAGCACCTTCACCCAAATAAGGCGTACTACAGATTTATAACTTTGACTTCTCAAAGCTAAAAACTTATATTTTTTTACAATTTAAAAGTGCGGGCTTATTTATAGTAACATCTAAACAGCTGGCAGTCCTATAATAATGATCGCGTGAATTCTTCACGAGTGCGAAGTTTAGAAAGTGCAAAGCGTGTATTCGTTCGGCTTTCCTCCAGCTTCATTCATTCATTCATTCAGGATTCAGGATTCAGTCTGGTTTCCTTCCACTCAGGAGGGAAGGTGGAGGATCGTGTAGAGAATTAAGTGCGCACCACATGTGTTCCTGTTTCTTTACCTGGATGGATTTACTTTCTTGAAGATTCCTCTCATGATGATGATGCCAGCAGGATGGTGGTGATGGCTCCAGAGATGTGGTTTGTGTTAGAAAGTGGATCGCGTTCAGGCTAGGCCTGTAGTATATTTCGCTCAAACACACGCACATTCACACGCGTACACACTCGCATACACACACGCATACGCACGCACACACACACACACACGCGCGCGCGCGCGCACACACACACACACACACACATACACACACATACACACACTCACACTCATGATCAACATTTACACACGTAGTACGCGTTCACATTCGCACGCACACTCTCATAAATTTACTCTCGTCGCACTCTCACACACATATATATATATACACGCACTAGACTACGTGCGTGCTCTTGAAAAAAACTCACGCGCACACACGCACACTCACACATCAAAACTGGTATGTTCAGTTATGAGCGTTATATTTATTACTTTCTTCTTGATATGTTGGTTTCGGTTTTGAAAATCGACTCAGTGAATTTCATCAGTAGATACATGAGCACCGAAGTATTGGATTTGGATTTATCTGATAATTTTGTCTTTTCTTTTTTTTTTCTCTCTCTTTTTTTTCCGTCGATAGACTGTACAGACGTGGGTGGCTGGCGGGTGCTCTGGTGTAGTTTGCTACTTCTTTCTCCTATGAAACGTCTATTGTCCTTATAAATCTCGCCTCCTATTTTGTCTTCATTAATCTTTTGTAAATACCTCTAATCTTCGACGCTTATATGACCTTATATTGTGTTGCAAGTGCCGTAAAACACTTACTAAAACAAACAAAATGAAAGCAGACACAGACGTGTCTCTAATTGTAAGTCAGAGTATGCGTTACATTAGCAAGACCTATGGTAAATTTTATAACTGCGTCGTTGTGTTGTTATTGTTGTTGTTGTCGTCGTCTTACCTTTCTTTATCCTCCTTCTCTCTCTTTCTCTCTCTCTCTCTCTCTCTCTCTCTCTCTCTGTCCCTTTCTGTCTGTCTGTCTGTCTGTCTGTCTGTCTGTCTGTCTGTGCGTATGTCTGTCTGTGTGTGTATGTCTGTCTGTCTGTCTTCCTGTCTGTCTGCCTGTCTGTCTGTCTACCTCTTTCTCTCCCCTTGTCTCCATCCTTCAATCATGGACGATCACAGAAGTGAGTGGTTGGCGGGTGCTCTGGTGTGGTTTGCTTCTTCTTTCCTTCCTATCAAAAATCTATTGTCCTTATATATCTCTAATCTCCCCTCCTTCTATTTTGTGTTTGTTACTCTCTTGTAACACCTAGTCTTCGGCACTTATATGACCTTATTTTTTTCTTATTGTGTTGAGAGCGCCGTAAAACACTTACTAAAACAAAACAAAAATACCTCTTTCTCTCCTCTTGTCTCCATCCTTCAATCATGGACGATCACAAGAAAAGAAAAAATAATACCGAACCTCTCTTTTCTCTGTTATTGTTATTACTGTTGAGGCAAGTGATTCTCCCCAAATCTCATATATATAATAATTAATTTCCAAATGAGATCGACTGCATAATAACCGCACCAATTAGCTAAGTTATAAAATTATTCTCACTCGGATTGTGTGTAGTTTTAAAGCCTCCTGCAATTACTAACGTACTACTTCTATCTAGATCTCTCTAAGGCCTCTCTCTTTCTTGTTGTGCTTGTCAGTAGGGCTGGGCAATGAGTCGCTTTGGTAAAGTCCGGATAATAGTTAGTATGTTAGTGTACCTCTTCGGCAAATATTATGTATAATATAAACCTCTTCAGAAAATGGGTTAGAACCAGTTCGACAAACGGGTTAGGATTACTTCAACAAATTGGTGCACCCACTTCGGCAAACGTGTCAGGAAAGACGAGTTGAGAGTCTGAATTCGGATAATATTTATTCATTGAGAATTATCCGGTTTTCCTTATAGATTATCCGGATTTTGCCCACCTCTCTACTTGTCAGTGTCAAGCCTTTTTATTAATTGATCTGTTGTCGCGGGGAGGTCGTTGTTGCTAATCGAACAAATGAAATAAAATAAATAAATACTTACGGTTATTTATGAGAAAATGTATGTCTTTATTAATTACTTCAATTACTTGTGTTTTGTTATTGCGCTGTCGGGATATTGCGTTTGGTTTGATTGAGATTGTAGTAGTTGTTGTAATCA